GCAAATAGGATTTACTTTAAGTGTGCATAAAATTTTTTATTCAAGTTTTATTTATGATAAAATAATAAATTGTTAACTTAGTAATGCAATTTTGTTATTTTATTCAATTTTCTTAGTACGTAAAATCTATTTAATTTTTTTATGTTTATTAATTTTAAAGTGATTTAATAAGTTTGAAGAAATTTTTCACAATTACTGTCAAATTCTCAAGGCCAACTTAGAAGGAGATGGTTTTACATGCTGAAACTAGTCTAACATTTTTAATTTAAGTTTTTGTTGTTTAAAAAAATACTTTCATAAACATACACCTTTTTTAAATTGCAACTAGTAGATAGGTAACACTTATTTCAAATTCAAATAATAAATTAACATTATTTCAGACAAATTTGGAAAGCAAAGCAACTTGAATTTAACTTAATTGTGCCTAAAAATTTGAAACAAATTCTATTCAAGTCTTATTTATGATAAAACAATAAATTGTTAACTTTGTACGGTAAATTTGTTATTTTATTCAATTTTATTACAAGTAAAATCTATTTTTTTGAGTGTATTAATTTTAAAGTGATTTAAAAAATATATTGTAATTTGAAGAAATTTTATCAATTCCTGTCAAATTTTCAAGGCCAACTCTAAGGAGAGAGTTTTACATGCTGAAACTAGTCATTTTTAATTTTTTATGTTTTTGTTGTTAAAAATTTTTTTTTATTAAATTTTTTCTATTATTATATTGCAAGATAGGTAAAACAATTATAGGTAAGCAATTTTGTTATTTTATTCAATTTTATTACAATTGAAATGTATTTAAATAAATTCTAAGAGACTCATTAACTCTTATTAGAAAAAAAATATTCCAATTCAGATTTATAAAAAATCGTCACTTTTCAGGTTTTCTTTTTTCAACATGTAATTAGAACTCATTTAAAATTTATATAAAAAAACATTATTTTCAACTTTGTTTACGCTTAGAATCGACAAAATGCGTCGTTTTCAAACTTTAATTAATTATTGCCTAGTAACTTCTAATTTAATTCATTTAATTTGGGTACACATAATAATTTGAAACAAATTCTACTCAACATTTTCGTGTTTATTTCTATTTCATTGCTTACAAATTATTTCAATTACCTTATAACTGAAAAAATAGACATATTATAATAATTTATGTCAATTGTTTTCTTGGTAATAATTTTCTCATGGCCGACTTTACTTTTTAATAGAAAAAAATAAACAAAATTTTTGTTATATTGATTTTTTTCAATTGTTTTTTCTCAGATAGTAGAAAATTATTATTGTTTTAGACACATTGCTTAGCAACGAAATTATTAACGGCTTAATTTTACCTAGCAACCGTGTGGACATACCAAAATTTGAAACCAACCTTACTCAACATTTATTTATTTCCGTTTCAATTCAAATAAAACAAAATTTTTAAAAAAATTTATTCAAATTACAACAATTTTAACAATTTCATTTTAGTTCCAAACTCCCAGAAGTGAAACCCCAAACTTTCCCTTAATCCCTAATCAGCGATAACTGGATTAGAGGATTAGACTAAGTGGAATTTTTCACAGCCACCTTTGCTAACTTTTTCTCGGCCTTCTCGAAATTTCTAATAACCGTCATTAAAGGCATTCCACGAACCAATTTCCCCAAATCACTTTTCATCCTAGAAAACAACAAAAATATTTTTTTTTTGCAAATCAAAACAAACTCACAAAATGTGGCCCAAAATAGGGTTATCTGTCTCAGAGTGCTGTGTCAACACATGGCCTACTAGTACCATCATCAGCAAAAGCAACATTTTGACTAATTTGTATTAATTGTAATGTTTTATTCAAATCAAAGACGGCACGCGATTGTTTGGTAGCGTCATCTGTGAGCTGTCAACTAGACAAATTACAGGTTTCTGTTTCACGAAATGAAATAAATTGCAAGAAAAAATAATAATCACAGAGGTTAGACAGTGTGCACATGTTGGGTACTTCACAAGCCGAATTTCGAAATGAATCCTTGCGTAATCCCGAAATTATCCGAAGATCACGATGGCGATGAGCGGAAATTGAGTATGGTATGTTTGTTTTTTGCCAACTTTGTTACGATAAAAAAACTAGTTTTGTTTAAATTTTTTGTTATTTCTCAAATCAAGCCATCTAGATTCGTTCAAGGTCACACCTTTTTCCCCCCTTCATTGAAACAATTGCCACTAATTACGCAATTATTCAATTTGTAGCACAACCGTTTCGTCCAACAAGCACGCACCTGCGAATCCGAGGTTTTATTCATCGGCGATTCAATCATTGAACAATTACAGTTTTCTTCTTTATGGCTTGAAAAAATCAGTGCTTTGCATTGTGTCAATTTCGGGATAGGTGGCGACAGGTAAACAACCCGACATTTGATTTATTCAAAGCTGTGATTCCCCCAGAGTCGAGAATGTGTTATGGCGGATCCAAAATGGCGAACTCGATTTTAACGTCAAATTGAAAGCTGTGGTGCTATTCGTGGGGACTAATAACACCGATTGCACCCCACATGAGATTTTTGAGGGGATTTTGGAGATTATTAAGGAGATTAAACATAGATTGGGGAATGTTTTTGTTATTTTACCGGTGATTTTTTTGTGTTTTTTGTTTTTTTTTAGTGTGTTTTTTTTTGTAGACTTTATTACCACGTGGGCAGTACTCTAACCCGTATAGGGAGAGGAACGAACATGTTAATACTTTTCTCATTGATAAGTTTTCGAATGAAGCAAATGCTGATGAACTTACTGAAAATGTTCATGTTGTTGAAATTCATCACAATATTGTACAAAACGACCAAACTATTTCGCATCATATCATGCATGATTATCTGCATTTGACCAATTCGGGGTATTTGAAGGTGTTTGGGCCCGTCTATGAGAAACTTTGTACTCTTTTGAATAAATAATTGATTAATTTTGCGTGCTTTTCTTAAAAAATAATAAAAAAATAAGTGGTGTAAACTCCTCGGCTTCGCCTTGGCTACGAATAATCGATAATTGAAGCAATACAATGACCATATATTATAAAAAGCAATAAGGTATTTTTTTGTTAAGTACCTACCACAAAAAAAACTAAAATTTTGACAAAGACTACACAAAAAGTTTTAAAAATTAAAATAAACACTCTGTTTTATTGTTAAAAATTTCCAAAACAACTCGGGAAATTTATATAAATAAATTATTTTC